AACTGCCTGTGAAACTCTAAGTGGACCAAAATTTCTAATCGAGAAATGTGCGTTTCCCGCACAGTACGATATCGTTGCGGTAATGTGCGTTTTCACGCGTAAACTAGGCTGATTTCGATCCGGGAAGACTGTAGAACACCATTATCTCAGTTACGTCGACGATGATGAATTCCATGCTACCAACGATGAAAAACGGGGTGGCTGTAGTTCCTACTTTTTACCGTGACCAAAGTGTTTCTGTACGGCGGCAGCCGTGTTTGCTTAAGACCGTCCATTCGGTAAAGCCCCCCAAGCTCCGCATCCCAACGAAAGAGGTTTTCATCTCGTTCTTCCCGAAACGCAAGCGGATAATAATCTATAATTATCCCGACGTAATAGGGAGTGAGGAGCACCGCGTCGCGTTCAGTACTTCCGTAATAATCGTTGAATATGGCGCTGAAACCGGATTGACGAGCTGATCGACGAGAAAGTATCCCAATATGCAATCGATAGGTCCAGTCGACAGTTTATCGAAGAGAGATCCTCATTTTCCATTCAGAAGAGCATCTTTTCCTTGACTATTATGCTCCGTCGTGCAATCTGTTCCGCGTTATAACAAAGATATCCTTGGATCTGGACAAGGACCTCTGGCTGAGTTGTATCCTGATCATAGGCCATTGTGATCGACCGTTCGTCATCACACACATACGGGGCCTCTACCGCGGTAAAGAGCCTTGACGAGGATAGTGCTTCGTTGCCTGCTCTTTTTCTATCTCCCTTTCCTGCGCTTCTCCCCCTCTCGTCGTATCGCCGTCATGCGGGCGAGGCGGCACGTAATAATTAAAGCAACGCACAATTTATCGTGTGTTCTTCGCCCCCTCTGTGCTGTGAATGGCGGAATCGGAGCAGGAAGAGAAAAAGCAATGTTTTCGTGAATCCACACTCGCGGAAACGTTATACCAAATGAATCTTCTGATTCTCACATATACGTGCGTGTAGCCATGCGAGCGGTATTAACTTGATTGCGAACTGTGGAGTGATGGTCAATGATTCCTGAGTAAATATCTATGTAATTGCCAGTCTCAACGGAAAGATTGGTACGACCAGGTGCAATGTTAATCAGCGTGTACAGCCGTAACAGAAGAAAGTCATTGCGGATATTGCTACCGCAATTATTGTATTGCGGTATATCTAAATAAGTATAATCTCATCCTTAGGAGTCCTAAGGAATTTTATCCTCATAAGAAAGAATCCTTCTAAAATAAAAAAGAAAATGTTCTAGGCACAATATTCTTAAAATTAAATAAATTTTGTATTTTAGCGACAAGTCTTGTTTGTCGCGTCTAGTGTCGTCAGTACGAGAATATTGTGCTTTAAATAAATATATTCCTCTTGATTTAAAGGAACAAAGTTGGAATAATTTTCATTAGATTTCCGATTAATAATCCAGAGGAATGCTTTTTCGGTAAAAGTTTTTAGAATGTAGGATTGTGGGAAATAGCACCTTGTGTTTAGAATTCTTTTTTTCAGGATGCAATATCGAAATTCGCAAAGTTAATCAATATTTTTAAATGGATATATTTTAGCTTTAGATTTCTTCTTGATTTGGAGAAATATATTTTCCAATCCAGATGTCAGCAGATATCTACGTATCCAATACAAAAAGCAATATGAAGGTATGCCGATGACACGTAGTGATCTCGCAGCCACGCGACCTTGGATTACAAAGATCTTGATAGGAATAAGAGAGATCCGCTACGTCGTAAATTCGACCTTCCTGGAGTCACCGATGCGAGAAATGCTTCTACTCCGAGGGAACCGCAGGACAATGAACGTTTTCGAAATCTACACACCGATTACGATTTCGTAACTTCCGATTATCGTCCTCATAGCGAGCGCGATTCACTTGCCGAAGAAAATCAATCGAGCAATACGGCTGAACAATACACGGAGAAAATGTTATACACCTAATATAATTTTAGAGGAAATTCGCTTACATATGGTCTCAAGATAATTCTTTCCAAAGGGGATATTTCCTCTTAAAACCAAAAGAAAAATATTCTAAGTGCAATATGCTTAAAGTTAGAAGAATTTCGTATTTTATTTATTTACAAGTCTTTTGTTCTTGATATAAATTTCTTATAGCAAGAGGTGATTTTGTTTCAAATAAACATATTCTTCTTAATTCAAAAGAGAGAGAGAGAGAGAGAGAGAGAGAGAGAGAGAGAGAGAGAGAGGAAAAAATTAAAATAATATTTAGTAGATATCCGATTAATATAGATTCATTTCAATACCCTTTTGAAGATATAAGAATATTATGCACGCTTAACTTTTTCCTACAAAATTATTGTAATTATTTGAACATTTTTTTATATTGTATACCAGATACAAAGACAAATTTTTATTACTTTTACAGTAATTTATATTACAGTATTGTAATTTTAGTATTGTCCAGCTTTGCAAAAGCTACGTTGTAGGAAGAAATATAATTTTAACTATAATATTTTCTCCGTGTGTATAACGTAGTATTATGTAAATATCCCAATCCATCGTAGCGATGGAAAATAATATCCGACTGATAGATAATTATTTTAATCGAGATGGTAGGATATAGTTTACTGAGACGTAATTAATCGGCTTAACAAAGCGCTGCAGAATTACGAGGCAACCGGAAACACGGCCTACCGAGTCGGATATTGCAAGGGACAGGACAAATCCGGGACCACAGGCATGATGAAACGTATAACTCGATTTTATATAAAACACATGCTAATTAACTTGATGTGAAATTCAATCGCTTTATTAACGCCGCATTCACACGGAAATACTTATTAACATCAAAAATAGAAAAAAGAGACACTATCTGTGAAGATCCCGAAGAAAGGACTGAAAATGAAAAGATCCGAAAATGGCGAGTATCAAACGACGCCGCGTCTCCCACGTGTCTAGTGTTTCAGCGTTAATTGCGAAAAATATACAATTCGCGCGCGAGCGCCGACAATTGTTCCAAGGTTCCTCTGAAAACATACCGCCTCAATCGTGAGCGAGCAATAAAAAGTCAACGCGGACCGGCAGCGAGTGCGATTAAGTGGATCCACCATGGTTACCGTCGCTCGTTTAGTTTTTTCATTGTGAACACTGTTGCAATGTGTGACATCTCGGTATGCGGGGTTCTCACAGAGAATCCACGGCCCCATCGACAAAAAACTGCGGGGCACACGTATCTTGTGCTTTGAAAACGAGAGACCCGTTCCTGCTCTCTGTTACATCTCTCAATAAAAAGACGAGACTTTTTGTCGTGATGAAGACGCTTTCAGGATTTACTGCGGCATGAATATCTCATAGTTAAAATTTCATCCTGCGAATGACACAATCGCGTACAAAGTGCAACGTAAAATCATTGCTCGATAAAGGAGAATCTATTTTTATCTTGGTGGAGAAAAATTTCGGATGGATTGGGGGTCATTATGTTACGGAACGTGCAATCGGGTCACAGTTGTGGCAATTATCCATGTTAATTACGTTTACATCGCCTATTCTCTTAATTATGAAAATATTTATCATGTGTGATACGCGTGGCCGGTATCTCGGACGAACTAACGGAAGCCAGTTGTAAGTTTTGCGACAATGTTTGCAACCCGCGTGCGAAACGGGTCAGACAAGCGTAGATACAATGAAAGGTCTTCGCCATGTGCGCATCGAGGAGAATCGCGCGCGTAATATGTAGAGCTCAAGCGGAAACGGGGATAGTGACGTCTGCGTTTGAGCGCGGCTACATTTTTAAATACACCGACCCTGATCGTAATCAGCCGTGCGAAATTGCAAAAACGCTTAGTCGCCCTAGAAACTCGCGCGCTTCGCCGCTTACAATCACGATTGTTGTTATTTTACTACTCCAAGTATCCGCGAGAAATTATGTGCCAGCGTGAACTTCCCCGTGACTTACTTCAAGATCGTTATTTTAGGATGATCATTCGATCGAGGGTGCTCGATGTCCCTGCAGAGGAGACGAAATTTCAAATGGCGGTAAACATATGTCTCACCACGATGGTCTGTGCAGATGGCGAAGAAAAATATGCCCTACCTAAACGTCTCCCTGGGACGAAAGCCCGAAAAAGAGAGGAAGAAAGAGAGAGAAAGAGAGAATGAGAGAGAGAGAGGGGGAGAGAGGGGGGAGAGGGAGAGGGAGAAGTGAGAAGAGAAAAAGAAGCATGTATATGTATCTGTTTGCGTAGAAAGGAACGCGAAACCACACGACGTATAGTACTATAATATCGGCTTAAGAAGCTGAAAAGTGAGAAATTATGCGGCCCGTATTGAAAACTAGTCCTAACCACAAGAGTCGCAAACACATTCCAAAAATGTTCAACGTTCCTCTCTCTTTAAATACGGCTATCACTTTGATAGATACTGACAAAAAATCTAAAAATACGTTTGGCCATCATTATTGACTCATTTATTTTGTGTAATTGTTATTTTTTATGACTATGTTTAAAGGGAGAATGTTCTATGTATTAAGAGTAATCCCAGATTAAATGATAGAAATAATTATGGATTAAGTATGCTATACTAGCCGAAACAAATTCATCAACGGCGTCACGCAGGCACATATGAGGTCCAGCTGTTAATAAGTGTACGGGAATTGTGTTGCTCCCGTTTTCGCTAAACCGCTTTACGTCACACGCTCGGTGCCACACGCACACGAATGGCGTTTTGTTCTTCTCATTTGCTTTATTAAACGTAGCATCATCGCTTTTTGTACATCCTCGCGTTGTTCATCTCCCGCAAACGTCGTCGCGCATTACCCACTACACTCTCATTCACGTCACGCGCGTTTATCGGTCGAGTGTTCATTTACCATTAAACACGAGAAGAGAGTATACTTTAAAATAATTTATTACGCAAATAGATTGTCGTTTCACAAGCAACATGTTGAAACAAATTACGAACACGTCGATAATTAAACGATATGGTGCTTTGAGTTTTTTGAACGTGTGAGATACCAATCACAAAGTACTCACCTGTTGGGGTGCGGTATCGGCCGGTGAGAAGCTTGACAGGGCGGTTAAAGGTGCTAGGGAAGCGCATGAAGACGCTCTCGAGGGTGGTGGTGTGTGACCAGGGGTAGGACTTCCGCTTCCGCAACTACTCGCCCCGCCGCTGGAAGAGAGACTCACGCTGTCCGATCGCCCTCTCCACGGCGAGACCGACACGTGCTTCAACATTCCTCCTGATTCTTACCTGGAATCAGGATCCATGGGTCGTTTAACGTTAAATCGCTAGTATTAAATTGGGAAATATATATGGAACTGTCTGTAAACTCGGTCGATTGTCTGCTCTAATGGACCAGCACGATAATAACTTTCGATTCTACCACAGATGTACTTTTAATTGCATTACTACCATCTACAATTATCGTCAAACGGTTGATTCACATTGAAGGATGAGTCAGATGCTTCCAATGTGATAAATGATCGAGATCGACGTAGGCAATGATTTGCGAAAAATTTGCAACATAAGAAGCTCACGGTAGGAATTCTGCATTCTACACACAGAAAAATACACATTGCATTCAAGTAAATGTTGTTTACTTCAAATATTTTAATATCTCAAATATTTCAATATTTCAATCAAATTTATAAATCTGCAAATCTATTATAAGTTTCCATTATAATCTCATCACATTTATTTAAAATACTTTCCTAATAAGTTAATTCTAATAGTTCAACAATGAATATTAAATTAAAATAAAAACTCGGTTTGCTTACCACATAAAGTCAGCTTTTTTCGATAAGGTTTTATAATATTTTTATAAAAAGAATGAATTCTTCTTCTACATACATGATAATGAACTTTCCTCAAATCTGTGATGAATCTGTTTTAAGACTATCATAAAAAAAATATTTTTTGTTAGAGATAATTTTTACTTAAAAGAAGAAAAATAAAATGACTATAGTCGCTTTTCTTAGGAGTAGTATGATATTTTTCTGTGTATATTGCGAGGGTGTTAAATCAAACATTACGACTACTTTCGACTACTACTTTCATCGCAAGGACACAAGTGAAATTGTCATTCTAAGTTTCACTCGTTGTAGATTTCCGGCAGTCGTAGGAGCAAATTGTATATGGAACTTGTGTGCAGCAAAACGTGTGTTTCAATTAATCTCTTTATGCGTTTCCTCTCACAAGGTCGTAGAAAAACCGCAATTGGTCTGGCGGGCTTTCAATAAGTAGTGTCCAGCGACTGTGATTGCCAGGTTACACAAACGTGGAAAGTGGCGGGAAGCCTGTTCACAGAAAAACCGGACGCATGCAACGGTACACTTTAAGCATGTCTGTGTAATTTGACGTCGGAGTGAAACCAGACTGTTGCACATCTTGAACGTATGTCTACGCACATCTACTGTGTGGAAAGCGGGAAAAATCTTCCTCGCATTCAGTGGAATTTTAGAGTTCAGCGATGGCAGATCATATATGCGTAAAAACGCAGGTACATTTTCTACAAACTACGAGACGCTACAATGGGAAAATTCCGAAGAATTTGCATTCTTATTCAAAGAAATATAGTCTCATTCTTAGCAAGATCTTCTTATATACTGATCTCAAAAGGATTCTTCTAAACCTAAAAGGAAAGTATTTTAATACCTAGAAAAGAAAAACTAAGTGCAAGCAGAACTAAGAAAAACTAGTTGCAAGCTGCTGCTTTCTGAAATCCTATATTCTAAGCAAAATCTTTTACCAAAAGAGTGTTCCTTTTTTAAAAAATTAACTATTAATCAGCAATCTACTAAATTTCTCTAACTTTGTTTCTTTTGCATCAAGAGGAACATGTTTAGTTGAAGTAGAATGTTCCTTCACGCGCAAGACACGACAAACAGAATTTATGTTGTAGATAAAAGACAATAAAGACGAAAGTCCTTTAACTTTAAGAATATTGTGCTTACAATATCTTTCTTTTGATTTTAGAAGAATCTTCTTGAAGCCATATGTAACAGGATTTTGCTAAGGATGAGATAATACATTTGTGGGTGTATATAGAGATTTCTGTTTCATACATTTCATCAGGACTTCTTAACATGACAAGATAAAGTAATAGTAACATTATAAATGAGAAATTTTTCAATATACACTCAAACTCGAGCTTAGAATTTTCAATGACTTTTGGAGCAATTGAATTTCAAATCTCTATGCTACGTCACTTTGTGATTGCATAGTGATAATTTGCAATATGAGACTGCATATATGAATAGTGTGTTCCGCATGATATTATCGCCGGGGCGACGTGCGAATTGCGGTCACGTGTATCCGAAGGATATGATATCACAGTGGATCCCCCTCGGGGAGAAGACAAGAGAGGTTTGCGAGGAAGTACATATGTTTGCTTCTGATATTAAAAAGGAAAAGCGATATATTTTATTGTCAATACCAGATACAAACTTTAATCTAAATATATATATGTGTGTCTATCCGGGTGAAGCACTTATATGAGATTTCCTATGAGCGCTACATACTCACTTTTACTGATTCGCAGTCGAGCGGTATGCAGTACTCGCAACAGCGCACGCGTCAACACGTGGGAATCATATTCAAATTTAACATACAAGCGGCATCGAGATGAACCAAGTTCACTGTCTTAAAACCAGAAAGCACCTCGTGTTAAGCCCCGGGACGATTTACCCGATGATCACAACACACGAACAGACTCACCACCTCATCGCGTAGGGGTTAAAGGGACATTCGGCGTGCATTTTGTAAATGAAACGCTCCACACATGCCGCACGAAAGGTCTCTGGAGTTATCCAAAGGATCACTGTGTAACGAACGGTCGGACAAAGAAATAACGACTGTAACTCTCGAAGGAGCGAAAGGTATCCGGCAGAATTGGAAACCGACCTGAAGCTTAAGTTTGAAAGCCGCGGAGACGCTACGGTGTGCGCTCCGCGAGCGCTCCGTTACAACTGGCGAGAATGCACGAGTAAGCCAACATAGTAAGCCTCGCGCCGGCGATGGACGAGGCGGAGGAAAGAGAACGACCTTCCTGTGCAATACACGTCGATGTGCGTGTGTATGTGAGCACGCACGCCGGCAAGCTGCGGGGGCGACATTGTCAGACGCTGCTCAGATCACGAAAGGCGTTTGTCCACGGAACCAGCCGCTCATAGGGAGACGGCTCGGTCCTACCCTTGATGTAGGACCCCTCCTTGTCCCAACGATGAGAATGTAAAATGTCTCTGGGATATAGAGAAAGGCGGACGACTGTTCTACCTGTCGTCGAATACTCGCTCGCCGAATAGAGAGATCGCGATTTTTAAATATCAACCATTGTGTTAGGTATCGATGTCTCTTGATATTTATGCGTTCGCTCTAGGGCTCTGAAATGGGTTGGTACTGCGATATCGATTCAATTAACATTAATTTTCCTGAAACTTTCGAATTATATCATATGTTATGTTACAGACTGCAGATATAACTTGATATGAAAGATGACTATTATTTTCATGCTGGTGATTTAAGATGTTATTATATGAAGTAATTTATGGCGGTGACAATTTCAAGTCATAAAGTTGGGAAAAACACGACTCGCGGAAGAGAGTAAACTTTACTGTAAAAATAAATTAAGATTCAGGTATTACGTGGCGCATTCAGGTTCCGCATTGTATTGTTGAAAGAGAAGTGCGCAGCACGCAATACACGTTGCGTATCGCAACTCAGTCTCGCATCGTGGGGAAAAAGGGCTCCTCAGTCGTTACGGATAAGCACGTCCGGCAATTTTATTTTCTATTAGTTATTCCGCGCGCACAGGATTCTCCGCGCGTTCCAGTGTGAAGCAAGCGACGTGTATAAGAAGCTATTACGTTATGGCGGTAGCATGTGCTCGTTAAAATGATCATCACCAGAGGAGTCGAAGAGCGTCGCAACAGTGATTTAACATCCGTGACATATTATTCGCTAATGTGTCTCCTAAGAATCTTTTTTCATCACGGTGTTCGGGCATTCTTTAGTGATAAGCTTGTGATCTCCTTCTTTATGATAGCAAAACTGGAGAGGTGAGTAAATGACAAAATAACAAAAATCTCAAAAGTATGAAAAAGTTCTGAAAAGTATGAAATAATTTTGAAATAATATTCCTATGTATCTACAATCCTACTCTAGTATTTTAACGATATTAGAACGATATTAGAAAACCTGACTGACTGAGTTCACAATCATACCCTTTTTTATTATATTTATTTTTCTACAGTTATATAATTAGTTACCTACTTATTTTTTCACATTGACTTCTAATATCGTTAGAATATTAGAATAGGATGACAAATATATGAGAATATTGATTTAAAATTATTTTATATCCGAATAATGACACTAACCTAAGAATCATGTAGATGACATACTAAACAAGTTACAAAACGTTTTATCTGAATATTTCTAACGGTTTTTTACTTATGAGGGAACATACAAAACAAACATACAAATTGAGAACTTCCTTTCTATTAAGTCGGTTAAAATCTCTCTTGAGATATTCCATAGTTCGACGCTCTTTAACATTGTCGTATTTATTTTTGCGGAAGAAATATTCATTTCTAATTTCTGCGATCAGATATTTTGATGCATGTCAAGTCGACGTTACAATTGGGAAAGAGGACGACAATTTCAAACGTATTCGTCTAATTTTTTATTCAGCAAAATATTCGCATATATATATGATGGTATACGCACACGCAACGCGTTACAAAAATTGATCGATTGCTTTTTTCGTGCTGGTAGCATGAAAGTTAATCGAAATTCCGCGACAAGGGCGACTAGCTGATGTCCAAGCGATCGGACCATTCATGGGACTGCTTATCTGACTCGCGCTCGACCAACAAATCTTCGTTCCTTCCTCCTCGCGGCGATATTTTACATACGCGCCTGTACCTGCCACATTCGAAAAGAAGAGTAAAAAAATAAAACGCGAGAGAGGCGCGTCCTACGTGATCGCCCGACGAGCGACTGCATGGGCGTCGAGCTCTCGTCGCCGAGAGAAGGGTTTACGTCTCTGCGAGGGAAAAGCGAGAGACGCACGTGGGAGTCGGTACGATTCACTCAATGGCGCTGTGCGCTTCTCCTTCCGATTCCTTTAATAAACTCGTTATATCGCACGCCCGCCAGGAAAAACAATGATTCGCTGCTGAGAAATTCGTAGATACGCGGAAAGCGCGTGATATACTTAGAGCGAGCGAACCATTATACTCCGCGATTATACTCCGAGATACACAGTGTATATTTACATTTGCGTTAGGATAGATGCAATCACATCTATTCACGTGCCGGAAGTACGAATGGACCTTCCGCTTCCGGTGCGATGTTTCACGATTGAATTTTCCAAACCCGTGTTGCAACTGCATTGCATTTCCCGGTGGGCGTCTCTTGAGGCAATTTTGTGATAGAGTCGTCCGAAAGAAGCACTTTTACCTGTCTGTCCGTAGATATTTGGAAAGGTGTTGGTTTCAGGGGGGAAGAAGCGCGCGATTAGATGCCTGGGTGGCATTCACGATGCCGCCAAGTGGGGTGGCCGCACATGTAATTCGAGGCCCATCTCGAACATATAGGCGTGTCGAAAATGAGGGTTATCATCGAAAATGATGCTTCGGCGCATCGTAATCTGGCTGGGAATCGAGGAGGTCATAATGTATATATCTATCGTGACAGGTCGAAAGTTTTTTAGTTCTCGTTTAATTATGCGCACAGAAAAATATTGTTCTATTGCTGAGAAAAGTGATAACCTAATTTAATTTCTTTCTTTTAAGTAATGGTTACCTTCGACGAAGAATACTTTCTTGACAATAGTCTTAAGATATACTCATCACAAATTTTGGGAGAATTCATTATTGTGTACTCAAAAGAAGAATTTATTCTCTTTACAAGAATATTATAAAACTTTATTCAAGTAAAAGTTGATTCGTGTAGTGAGCAAGCCGCAATTTTTTTTTTAAATTTAATATTCTTGATTGAAATGGTAAACTCACTAGGATTCAGAATGCACTTTGAATAAATATAATGCTTATGATAAGCTTATGATAGAGGTTTAAAAATATATAAACTTATGAAATACTTGAAACAAATCATGATTGAATGCAGTATATATATTTTTTGTGCGTCTATCGCGATTTGAGATTTACAGATACTCAAACGAGGACGCGCAGCTTTGACTATTTTAATAAATTGCTAATTTTTCAGAGAAATATACAGATATTGATTATTTGCAATTCATTATTTTAATAAAGAATTCGAAATTCTATTTTCCAATTGCAAGACACAAGTTGGCAGTTTAAAGGGACAATCCGCGTTTGCTTGACGGAAATCGTCTATATCGCATGCTCGGTGTCTCGAATATTTTCCATCGACCTCGGCGGGGTCGAGAACTGACAGTCATGGAAAAACGTCGCTCATCTAACGGCGGCATGCCCGTAAGAAGAGCGCGAAGCGACTTTGGTCTGCACGAGATTGCAGCACGAGAGAGTTCCGTGCAGCCACGCGTACTATCGCGATTTCGTCGTGCAACATGCGCGCCCCTTTTGTCGCGAACACAAGGCGCCTCACTGTGAAAGGTCCTTCTTCCATCGGCTCTGGCTTCGCTCACGCCGATCTCGGGGAGAAAATTCAATTAGCTCCGCCAGGCTAGATCACCGTCCATACCGCGGTGCAGCTGCAATCGGCAGATAAGCCTCGCGAGTGCCTGCCTGCCTGTGCGCGTAGCAGCAACCGACAATGCGAAACGTGTGTGCGCGTACGCGCATTGAAGTCTCATAAAGCAATACCGCTTATCGCCGACACGCACAGGTACGAGCCCTACGCGCGAGTAGATCTGTCGCGCACCAAGCAAACACTCGTGACGAACGTTTTCGTACGAGGTCGCCCTGTAGGCGACTTTATTATGACAGAAGGTATCAGATTTCCATCATATTGTGGGAGATCATGCGCTGTTTGCAACGGAAAAATCTATAACGGTGGATGGGGTGTGAAGATCTTTTCGCGATAGTGGAGTCTCTTGAGGCAAATATGAGAACGCTCGAATATCGCTGGGATATCTGAGATTCTTGAAAATATTGCTTGAATTATATTTACTCGATTTTTCTCTCGAATTTAATCTCAGCTCTGTTCGTCCATCCACATAAAGACACTTGAGGCTTAAACGATTATCGTACGTAATGTTGGGACGTTAATACGTGCATGTAAAAGTGTAATCAACGGCGATGTTTCAATGGTGTGCTGCAATCGTATTTTTCATCATTTTCAACTTAAGTGATGTAACAGACTTAAATGAATTACATAGCATTACCGCCAAGTGCCTGGTAGTTTAGTAGTTTAGCCTATGGAACCTGCTGAGGTGTACTCGCCGATAATACTATGTAATTTAACTGCGTTACATCACTTAGAATGGAAATGATCAAAAATACAATCGAAACGCTCTATTGGAGTACTGTCGCGAGGATTGTTTGCATTTCCGTGAAATTTACAAATTTTCGCGGAATTTCTGTGGCCTATTTTGCACATAAACAGGGTGCACATAAACAGTTCGATTTTACAATCTCTCGTGAAGGCATAGAGTGGATTCAGGTGAACAACAAAGTTCAATACCGTTTTACCAAAAGTCCTATAATGATTAATGATTCAAATATTAATTATAGAAGATTTGAATAATTGCGCATGATATGGTAGATAAACTGTAGTAGTGATGTCATGTGCTTGAATATCAGATTAACTTGCAATTTGTAGTTAATAAGAAATCTTTACTTGAAAATATTGCAAGCTCTGTTTAACCAGAGAATTTATTAACTTGTGTGTGTGTGTTGTGTGTGAACAGATTTCTAGTAACTTTATTACCAGAATTTCTGATTCGCTCATATTTTGCAATGCATTTGGTTGATCCAACCAATCTTCTTTTTTATATAGAATAAAGTGAACAATGACAAAGATATCAGCACATTTG